ATCTAAAAAGTGGCTACTGGCAAGTTGAAATTGACCCTAAGGACAAGGAGAAAACTGCGTTCTCGACGGGAAAGAGTCTATGGCAATTTAAAGTAATGCCGTTTGGGTTGTGCAACGCTCCAGCAACGTTTGAAAGGCTGATGGAACTTGTACTTACGAGGCTAATTGGCGATGCCTGTCTGGTCTACTTGGATGACATCATCATCGTAGGCCCTACGTTTGAGGAACACCTTCAAAATCTGGAACGCGTGCTCATAAAGATTCAGAGTGCCAACCGCAAGTTGAGTCTGAAGAAATACTCACTATTCAAACGGCAAGTTAACTTTTTGGGGTATGTAGTATCGGAAGAAGGTATCCGCACGGATCCAGAGAAAATCGCCGCTGTCAAGGATTGGCCGGTTCCAAAAGACAAGACGCAGGTTAGAGCATTTTTGGGTTTATGCTCCTATTACCGGCGATTTGTGAAGAACTTTGCAGATATAGCCAAACCTCTGCATAAGCTAACCGAGGAGAAGCGACATTTCTGCTGGGATGAAAGTTGCAATATCGCTTTCCAGGAGCTCAAGGACCGTCTGTGCAAACCCTGATGCAAACAAAGAATTTATAGTTGACACAGACGCAAGTGATACCGGACTCGGCGGTGTGTTGTCTCAACGGAACGGTGATCGAGAGGTTGTGATAGCGTACTTCAGCAAGTCGTTGTCAAAACCGGAAAGGAACTATTGTGTCACAAGACGCGAATTGCTAGCTGTGGTAAAGTCATTGCAGCATTTTAGCAAATATCTTCTGGGGCGGAAATTTCACTTACGAACTGACCATGCTGCACTAAAATGGCTATTACAGTTTAAAAATCCAGAAGGACAAGTTGCGAGGTGGATTGAACTACTGCAGGAATACGACTTTGAGATCGAACATCGCAGCGGGAAATCTCACGGCAACGCAGAGGCATTGTCAAGAAGACCTTGTCCTGAAGATTGCAACCATTGTACTAGGCAAGAGAGTAAGGAAGTGGTATCCGTGAGGATGCTCAGAACAGACCACCTCAGCAACGAGTGGAAGGACAGCTTACTACATGCACAGCAGGAAGATCCGGACATCAAGCCGATTCTGGAATGGTTAAAGGACAGTGCTTCCAAGCCCAAGTGGAGCGACGTCTCAGCGATGAGTTCGACCACTAAAAGCTATTGGGTCCAATGGGACAGCTTGCTGCTTCAGGATGGAGTTCTGTGCCGTAAATGGGAAAATGTTCGGGGAACCAGCTGTTATTTGCAAATGGTCGTCCCTAAAGCTAGAGTACCGGATGTTCTACAGCTGTACCATAATGATTGTTCAGGAGGCCATCTGGGAGTTAAACGAACTCTACTGAAGATCCGAGAACGGTTTTATTGGGTCCACTGTCGAAACGATGTCGAGGACTGGTGTCGCAAATGTACAAGTTGTGCGGCTGTTAAGGGACCTCAGACTCGTAGTAGAGGTGCATTGAAGTTGTACAATGTTGGTGCACCATGGGAGAGAATAGCCATTGACGTGGCGGGGCCGTTTCCGGAGAGTGAAAGCGGTAACAAGTATTTCATGGTTGTGATGGATTACTTCACTAAGTGGCCAGAAGTCTTCGCCATTCCAAATCAAGAAGCTTCAACAGTTCCAGATAAACTAGTTCATGAAGTCTTCTGTCGTTTTGGAGTACCTTTAGAGATTCACAGCGATCAAGGAAGGAATTTTGAGTCTCAAATATTCCAGGAAACTTGCCGAGTTATGGGTACTTATAAAACAAGAACGACTTCTTATCACCCGCAATCTGATGGAATGGTAGAACGATTTAATCAGACATTGGAGAGGTACCTAGCAAAAGTTGTAGACAACCGGCAACGAGATTGGGACAAGCACATACAACCGTTTTTGTTGTCATATCGAAGCGCTGTTCACGAAAGTACATCAGTGACACCAGCTTTCGCAAACTTTGGAAGAGAATTACGGCTGCCTGCATACCTGATCACCGGGATACCACCTGATGCCCCACGAAGTATAACCGATTACGCAAATGACTTGCGGAATAAAATGAATGACATTTATGAGCACGTCAGACAATCGGGCAAGCAAATGTATGAAAAGATGAAAACCCGGTATGACCACAAAATGAACAACAAAGGGTTCGACGAATGTTTACTAGTATGGTTGCACAATCCAGTCCGCAGCAAAGGGAAATCTCCTAAGCTTCAAGCTAAATGGGACGGCCCGTACCGGATTGTGACCAGGATCAACGATGTAACCTACCGGATACAGAAAGGCGCAAGAGGGACTCTTAAGATCGTCCATGTGGATCGCCTGGTGCGTTATTATGGGGCCGATAATGCTCGGGACGAGCATGTCTTAGGAGGGGGCAGTGTTGCGCGGCTAAGTTGACATCTGGCACTAGCGCCATCTGGTGTCGGGTAACAGCGAGGAGAGCTTTCCAGAAAATACATGACTAGTCTTTCAACCAACAGCGCCATCTAGTATCGAACAGAAGAATTAAGCTTTCTGGAAGCCGCACACTCGAATTTTCTGCGCTTGGTCGGTTGGCGCGCGTATTTACTTGAATATTCTGGAATATTCTGGGTGTTTTCGTGGAAGAGCCCTATATAAAGGCGCTGCAATAGGCGATCGGGGAAGTATTGAATTTGGCGAGACAAGTGAAGCTTCGGAGCGGAATAAAGTGAATCAGTGTGATTAATTATTAGTGTTTTAAGTTTAATTAGTGTAAAGTGAATTAAAGTGTTAATTTCGGTAATTCAATCGGCAATTGTTGATCCGGCGCCTTTTGTTGATCCAATATGCATCTCTGGTAATTAATGTGGCTCCGACCGGATCCACATCTGCACTCACGAGATTGTTTGCTAGCGTTGGCCGAAGTTGATCCGATATACAAATCCACCTTGCGATGGTTACGGAAAATGTTGATCCGATTTAAATAAATCCTATATAGATAGAGCCAATCAGAGCACAGCAAACGATAAGATAAACGATCGGATTGGCTGAATTCAGCCGCGACGTTGCCGTTTCGTATCTTTGGCGGTACAAGCTACAGATTAAATGCGTGTTATGTAATGCATTCAGGATGCTGTTGGGTCTGCCTTGTAGTTATAATGCGCCGGGTATGTTCGCGGATGCGCGTGTGAATTGTTACTACACCACCATGCGTAAACGATGAACATCCCTGGTGCGCAGGGTGCAGGCCAGTTCCAATGGTATCCTGAGGGCATTTTCTGACAGGTTTGAGGTCAGTACCTGAACCATTGTCATATGGTGCACGTGTTGACTAATCGGGCCTGTCTTATATATAGTTTTAAAATTAGGTAAATAGTTTTAAGTTTTAATAAAATTAGTTTTAAGATTTTTATTATTACTAACATCTATGATCCTTGTGGTCGAAATAAACAACTTTTGTTAACGAATTACTCGAGAACGCCCCTTCTTGTAGCGGAAGTGGTGGCAACGGCGACATAAGGTATTCGTCGGAGTAAGTGTTTGCGTGCGCGCGCGCGCGCGTGTGTGTGTAAACACACACATACGAACGCACATACACCTACACGCACGCGCACATACAAACTCACATAAAAAACACGCACACACACAAACACACACGCAAACACACGCGCGCGAACTAAATGGCACCCCCCACCCTTACACACACACACACACAAACACACTCGAGTGACAAATTAATTTGTCATAAAGTACTATCCATCATCTTCTAATTGATCTATGACAAATGAATAAAATAACACAAATTCACTCACACGATAACAAAAACTCGAACAAACGTCTTTCCACAATAAAACCTGCCAAAGTTTGATCCACAAAATCAGCAGATAACGTATTTTCTTACCTTATTACTATAACGAAGTAGCCTACTGGGTTCTCTGTCACACACAGAACGCGACGTTGCCGTTTCGTGTTCGAGTACCTATTCGTCAATTATGGCTCCGGATCCACTTAGTCTAAGTAAATGTCGCATATAAATTAAATATACTCTGGATCTAAAAAATCATATTCGGTATGATTTTTTAGACCGTTGATAGATCAACAAAGTTTGGTCAAATCGCTGACGAGTATATTGAAATCCTGTTAGTGCAGATCCACCGACGTCACACGCGCATCAAGAATGGATCAAAGTATATCAGTTTGTGCGAGAAACCGACAACAATTGTTCTAACTTCTCACTGGATCAAAATTATATATATATATATATATATATATATATATATATATATATATATATATATATATATATCCTTTAAGTAGTGATGTGGTTTAGATGACTCATAAATGGTGATGTGACGTTTTATAGACGTCTACGCAATTTATGTCAATACTATGAACTTAAGTATTAATTACACATTTTTTTGTATAAAATCAAAATAAAAACCCTCTTTTTAATGATATAGGCTAAAATTAAACCCAATTTAAGCATTAATCAACATTTATTAGGACATTTGGCAAAAGTTACGAAAAAAATCACATTCTATAAAAGACGCACTTCTTAAGTGTTATGAAATAAACAAACAGATTTATTTTTTAACAAAAAATAAAATTTCTTACTTCTTCAACTTAATTACAAAAATAATATAGGAACTACCACAGAATCAGTCTTCTAAATTCAGTCTCAGTCAGTACAGTCGCTGCAGATTGTTCTGGAACAGCCTAAGCGTATAGGCTTATGACATGCAACGCATTTGTACCTTGTACGTCGCTTCAGCCTTGCTGGACACACCTTACAAGTCTTTTTGTCATTCTCACCAACAGCTGGCTCAATGCGGCTGGGTTCTGGCGGTAAATCTTTGCTAAGAATCCGTTTCATTGTCAGTCTTATTATATTCAAGTATTTTGTCAGTAATATCGTCATTCATAAAATATCTCCACAAGGTTTCTAGGTTGGTGAATGCTCTAGGCTGTGATCTAGGTGTGTCAACCAAGTTGTGGCTTAGTGAACGACAGTTACGCATCACCGGTTCATCGCTTCACCATTTAAAACCATTCTTACCTATGTAGTATCTTCGGGATTCTGTGTGTATGTTATCTTGTATTGAAGATATACCTGAATCTTGCATCGCAACTGAACTGCGGGGTGATCTTTGTCGTTGAGATTGAGTTTCTTCATCCTCAAAATGTTCTGAAGCCGAGTCATGATCACTGTGCAAACAGAAATCTGGATCCACTTCTTCATCGTCCACATCACGTCTCATGAAGTCTCGCTCCAACTCAGCCTCTATCCACTGACTTAAGGTCTTTTCATTTGTCGAAGTATTTAGAGCTACTCGTTTTCGCTGTCGACTGACTGTCGCTGTTTCCTGAAGGTCCAGGTTGATCCATCTAAAATAATAACGTACACAGTGAGGTGACGAATAAGAGACACTTAGAAAAAAAATACACTAATACTGTAGTGACGTCCAATAAATCATTTACGCAAATACTGACCTCACGTCTCAGGGACACCAAACGGTCGTACAGGTACAGGTGTTGCTGCCACAAGCGCGAGCACTCGACTGACCGATCACGCCACCGAAACCCGAAGGTAGCGTTAGGGACGGGAGCGTCTTTAAAAAATTAACGCCACGAGACTGATTTTTGCATCGAGGCCGTCTGTGAGACACCCACGTCACTACTTAAAGGATATATATATATATATATATATATATATATATATACTAGACGTGCGGTTGAGGGGGAAACGAACGCCCGAAATATGAATTTAAAGGAGATAGGAGAGTAAATTTAGAAAAAATGCATTATATAAAATAAATTAGATGGCGCCAACATCGTCATTCTCTGTTTTTCGCACACTTTAATTATTGGACCGAGTGGCTACGCCTCCTGAAATTTTGCGTTTTTTATAAAATATACCTTAACACAAAAGTTTATAGATTAGTCTTTGTTGCATGAAAGCTAGAGATATTTGTAGGCGTAATTGTGTGTTTATTGTTTGTCTTTGTGTGAGAGCTACGACCTGGCGACACGCGTCCCGATATTAAAAGACAGTAGAAGGCATTTCTATTGTCTTATTATTTAGATTTCTGTGATTTCGTATGTCATGTGACGTTATGTTTAAGGGGAAAAACATAGATGACGTTTACTTTAATTGAGATATACGAGTATTCCAAATTACCTGCAATATTTCAAATTTGCTGCACTTCCCCTACCAAGCTCCACCTGTACCTGTGTCAGCAACGCGGCATAAGCGGCACGCAATATCAACGAAATTTACGGAGCAAATACTACAAACGAACGCACCACACCACCTGCTATTGGTTTGCCCGCTTCCGTTCCGGAAATTTCAACCTGAAAAATGAACCCCGTGGTCGTCCAAAAACTTTGGTCTTTGTTAAAAAAGAATTAAAGGCGATTGTGTAAGCTGGTGATACTTAACCTACTGCTGAATTATCAGCAGCCTTTAACGTTAGCATCAAAACAATATTGGTCCATTTCGGTCAAATTGGCAAGGTAAAAAAGCTTGACAAATGGGTGCCCCACGAAGTCAATGATCGGCAGCGCGGAGTACGCGTCGAGACGTGCCTGTTGTTACCTGCGGCGAAAATGGATTCTGTTCAACAATCACAAGCGCTCAGCAAATAGGTTGTTGGATCCTGTCTCCGCACCTTAACAATGCCCTAAACGAAAACTTACCTCCTAAAAAGTGACAGTCACTGTTTGACGGTAAACCACTAAACATTGACGCTAGAGCGCCGGTGCGATTGATCACAGCTTCTTACCAAATAGGATGAGCATTACTGCAGATGTGTACTTTGAAGAACTGAACACAGTGATGGAGAAGCTCGCACTTTCCAACCAGCTTTAGCCAATCGCTCGTCCCTGCTGCTTCTGCTCGACAAATGCGCATCCTCATGCTGCACAAAAGACGGTCTCTAAGTTACAAGAGCTCGGGCTATACTCACCAGATCTTGCACCTACAGACTTCTATTTTTAAGACTTTTTGGCTGGAAAAAATCCAATACCAGAGAGGCAGTACAAAATACCTTTGAAGAATTTGATGCCTCCCGTCCAGACTATTTCTTCAAGTAGGGCATCAATAAACAGCCGCTGTGTTGGCAAAGATGCATAGATCGCGTGGGTGGTTACTTTGATTAATGGAAATAAAAAATATTGAAAAAAAAAATACGTTAACTTATTTCATAAAAAAGGCAATATCATATCATCTGCCCGTCATCCGCAGTACTCACCAGATCTTGCACCTACATACTTCTATTTTTAAAACTTTTTGGCTCGAAAAAATCCAATACCAGAGAGGCAGTACAAAATACCTTTGAAGAATTTGATGCCTCCCGTCCAGACTATTTCTTCAAGTAGGGCATCAATAAACAGCCGCTGTGTTGGCAAAGATGCATAGATCGCATGGGTGGTTACTTTGATTAGTTAATGGAAATAAAAAATATTGAAAAAAAAATACGTTAACTTATTTCATAAAAAAGGCAATATCATAGATAAAAACCTAATATCAAAGTACATAATTTAAGATCGTGTAGTGGCAGTTCAAGAATATCTACTACCCCGTATATCGTCCCGTGGTTGTCGTAAGAGACGACACAGGGAAACAGGAGATGAGCAGCAGCATCTTCTTAATAGCAACTAATAATTATAAAAAGACGGTTGCTAACCTGCCCGCCAAGTATGGTTACTAAGATAAAAGGTATGTTCCGAAATACAACCCAGTACACTGTCGAATGCGAATGACGTCATGAATCGACGCTATACTGGTGATTTGTTCCAAAACATAGGACAGTATAAGACGTCATATATTTACGCCATATTGGAAAAGTGTTGGCGATTATTTTGTCATTTTGTGCTCCAAAAATCATTATATGTTCCTAATGAATACCAGCAATTATTCTATAATTTTTTTGTATTTGAGTAAATAAAAACAAATTCTAGCATGCTTCATTCAGCGCACACACAATTAAAAATTGTTTTATTGTGGCCGGATATCCGACGCAATATGGCGGCGGCATGTCAGTACAATATAGTGTCAATTGATGACGTCATTTGCATTTGCCAGTGTACTGAGTTGTATTTCGGAACATACCCGAAAATTCCCCCCTATGAGACAGTCTATGGGGGAGTTCAAAAGTGGACTTCTTTAGGCTGCTATGGATGGATAGATGAGCTAACTGTATATCTTTCAAATATGCTTGTTATTGTGTGATGTCCTCGGGCATGTTGATGAAAAATATTACTTGCAGTAGCACCCTTTACGGCAAACAATCGAATCATTGGTATTTTACGCACAATGTCTTGTGCTTTTGTCTGTTTGGTTTGATTCACAGTACCTACCAGATGTCTCGGACCTTTGACGCTGCTGCCTGTCGTCGTCGACCCGCAGGAATAAACGGGGTAATGGACACTTACGCCATCTCCAGAGTACTTTACTACTATTAGGAGTTAAAGTATAAAGTTTCCGTTTTAGTGGAGAGTCAATTGGAACTAAAATTAAACCTCCATAGTCCCAACATTCGTGATTAAAATGTTTTTTACACACGAACTATAAACATTCGAAATTAAAAAAAAATATGACATTCTATTGGCTTTACATTCAGCATTTATGTTAAGCGTGGATACCTCAAAAATTGTAGTAATTTTCGAATAAAACTTCCGACGTGATTTTTTTATAGAAGGGGCTTAGGTACTTGTTGGTGTCGGCCGCCGCTCATGAAAAACTTAAACACCTGGGGAATTTCATGAGTCTCTGCCAAAGAGATGCAATATCTCTTTCCAGCGCCAGTGAAACGAGCTGATCAGAAACAACTAGATCGTCGACTATTCCAGCCGCTCTGAGCTAAATGCGGTCAAGTGGAAGGAGCTGACACTGGGGTGCCTCGGCCCAGAGATGAGAACAGTATTCCATGTGAGGCCGAACTTGCGCCTTGTAAAATTACAAGCGATGTGCGCCTTAAAATACTGAATTTTGACGTTCATTAAATTTGGCGGCTGGATTTAGTCCGAACAATCCCTCAGAGCACTCCCCGTGGTAGATAGGATAGAAAATGCAAAGGCATGTACTGTACACGATTCCTACGCAGCGCCAGTGAATCGAATCGATCGTAAAGAACTCGGTAGTCGATGATTCGAACCGCTCTGCGCTGGATGCGGTCAAGTGGAAGGAGCTGGCACTGGGGTACCTCGGCCCAGAGATGAGAACAGTATTCCATGTAAGGCCGAACTTACCGCTTGAAATAATGTCCCGCTCTACAAAGCACGCCAAGATTTTTAGTGGCCAATTTGGCCTTCCCTTCCAAGTGATCGCAGAATTGAAAATCATTCGATATGTCGATGCCGAGGATTCCCAGCTAGCTGAGGCAACGAAAATAGTGCCTTTAAATTTAGGAGATACGACAAAGGGGTTTCATTTTAGCGGTAAAACGCCAGCGGCAAAGATTTAGTCACCCCCAATTAAAGACTTTGTTCAACAAAGACTCCCACAAGTTTATTCCGGCACTCGACGTGTTCCAGAGAAATATTGTCATGGCCGGTATAAGCGTAGTAGTGTAAGTGTCCCCAGTGCTGTCGTCCGCGTTTCAAAAAACATTACTATTGTTACTGGTTCTGGTGCAGCAGAGACAGTTCTAATTACTAATGCTGCATTCGAAGAGGATTGGACTAACGAGCGCACTGTGCGCGCTTGGTTTAATCGCTTCCGTAGTGGAATCTTCGAGTTCAAGAAACCACGAGGAAATCCAGAAACATTATTAGCTCATGCAAAATATGCGCTTAGACGTGAGTTGTGGAAAACAACGCGTCGTAAACTAAGATTATTAGCTACGTTTAAAAAAATGGAAGCCGATCCTTATCAAGCAACCAAGGAATTAGCGTCATGGTTTTATGTTAGATTACCTAAAATATTGACTCAGCAAATTGGTAATATAAAAGTTGAGAAATAGATCACGCATTTAAGTTTCCTTTACTTCGATGAGTATGTACAGAAATGAAGGGATTTGAACATAAGGTACCTAAGGGTATTAAGGCCTAGCTAAGAGAAATTTGTAATAAAATGAAAAATATCCAACATAATCTACAAGTTTTGTTATTAATCAGTCATGTACTTAAATTACTACAGAGTTTAAACAAAAAATTGCTTATCTAGCTTAAAACCAAAACAACATATAACATTTTTTAAAACGCAGTCTGTAAGCTTTAATATACTAGGGTAGTGTAAAAAGGCCTATACTTTAAACTATCTAAAAATCAACATATACTACGTAAATTGGTATTCTTGAGATCAATATGAGAGAAAATTAATTAAATTGCCTTTATTCGCATCCATCGGGACATTGAAAGTCATCCGTATCTTCTGCAGTCAAACCGACACACTCTTTGTGGTACCACTTGGAGCATCTCGAGCATTGCCTCAATGCATCGTCCATTCTATCTTCTTTGCCGTTCTATTTTCTTTGTCAAATTTATCGTAGATATCTCTCAGTTTTTTAAAATGGTCATCAACAATAAATTTATTTAGCTTTTGGTCTCTAGCTGGGTTTATGAATTGCGCTTTTCTTACGAATATTTCATGGTGTCTTTTCATGAACGCTTTGAACCAGTCTTTGCCTGCGCGTTTGCCCTCATCATTAAAATTGTGTTTTATATTAATTTGCTCACAATATTTATACACCAATCGAAGTAATATTCTTGGTGTCACAGGCAAGCCCATTTCAGAATACCACCAAGAATATCATATCTGACCACAATGCCCGTTTAGGAAGCATCGTGACCGCAAGCACTGAAAACAATGAAAAGCACTGAAAATGTATAACTACGTACATACAACCCACCAACAAACATTTTAAAAACATGCTCATACTTATATAGCAGTTTAAAAAAATAGGAGTATAATAAGGCCTATAGTAAAATTTTATAGGCCTTAATATCTGCCTACCACGTGGTTACAGATAAAATAATAATAAAAATTTTACAACTACTTACAAGTCCTTTAATACGGTAACCTAGGGACAAGCATACATTAATTAATAAACAGACGGTCAATACAGTTTGTAAATATGATATTTTCAAAATAACTTACGTTTTACTGGAGCCAATTTTTATAAATCGTACCCCATGACCGTACCGGTGAATGATTTCGACGACACCGGCCGGGGGAAAAGTGCAAGAGTTCGTCCGCCACTTCGCAGCGACTTGTATAAGCTCTGAGCTTGTCTGAGTGTAACATTGATGGTCAATTACTGTATTTCGTACGATTTTTGTTACTTAGGCCTTATTGCCCGACAGGCCTTAATACCCGCGGGTATCTAAATTGTAATAAGAAAAATTAATCCTGTACGATAGTCGCAAGCTGGTAAAAACGTTATGACTGAATCCAAGTCAAATACTGCCTTGAAAATAATAATGCCATAATGCAAAGCTCATCCATGGAAAAGCAATGATAAAGGTTTGGTGGTCATTTATTGGTATAATGTGTATCAATAACAGCATATTGTCTTTTGTTAAGAACTTCGAACAATGATGGGGAAACAAGCATAACTTGTTAATTGATCTTCACCATTATTGCTCCAGGATAATGCAAGATCCCACCACTGCTCGACAAACCATTTTAATATTACAAAATCTGCAGTTAGAAACCACGCGTTATCCTCCGCACTCGCTAGACGTAGCCCCAACAGATTGCCTTTTCTGTAATTTGGACAATTTCCTGCAAGGAAAAAAGTTTTTTCTCAGGAAGCGATACAAAACGCCTCCATAGACTTGTAGTCTTGATCCCCAGAGTTCTATCAAAACATAAATGATCTTCCCTCAAGACAGCAGAACTTATTAGATAATGAGGGTAAAAACTTTACAAAAATATTATTTTTCTTTTTTTTCAGATATTTCTTTTTTAAATAAGTAGGTATCATCTTTTAAAGTAAAGTTAAAAATCGAAGTATTATAAATGAAGAAAAAAAAACTTCAATTTGAATTTGTCAATTGGCCAATATTGTTGGGTAGTAAGTGGTCATGACCACAGCAACACTATTCATATACAGCCATGGCCCCAGCTAGTGTCTGCCGGGGTGATTCCTCCTCCTTCCTATTCCACCTCACTACCTAGAACATAGAATACTAAAATACGTACATAATAGAACGGGGGAGTGGGCGGAGCCCGTGTATCTACTAAAATGTCACTAACATGTCAATTTACACTTATGTCACCAGGAGAACGAGATGTGTTTTAATGTTACAATCACATGCAAATTATTTAGAAAATTTCAAATTGCACACTATTTACAAATAAATATGTATTAAAATTTAAACGATATTTTTAATGATGATCTTGAACATTAATCAAGTCTAAAATGTGTAAATTTACTCAGTCTGTCAACACAGCGAATCGGGTTTGTAGTAGTGATGATAATATGACGTAATTGCTTGTATGTGTGCTCCCGGCGACGCCGATCCTTGTACAAAATAAGGTTGACAGCCATTCTTTTGTATATTACCTATAGTATTCTATGACCTAGAAGCATCAGCGCTCCCAACCTCAACGGCAGATTAATATTAATTATTGATAGAATAAAACAATAATGAAATAAGAGTAAAATATTTTTTTTTATATATTTTGATTTAATTGTGATACTACTGTGATGACTTATTTTTTGGTGAAAAATGCAGATATGGTTTTTGTACCACTAGCAGCTCTTTGTCTTGCTTTCTCCTTTGCTGACATAGGTTTCTTTTTTAGATCTGAGACTCCACTGGAGGCAGGACTAACTTTAATATCAATTTCATTATCAATGCATGCATTTTGAGGTTCACTTTTGATTTTTTTATTTGAGTTAGCACATTCCACTTCAGATTTTCTTTTCTTACCAACGGATTCAATAATTTCAGGTTTGAAATTAAATTGCTTTTCTAATTTTTGTACTAAATCATCTTGTAGATACTCAGATACAATACCATGAGCATATTTCAGATAAAATTCTGGAATGAAAATATTCAGTCATCTATACTAAGTTTGTTACAAAATTTATGGCTAACATACATCTACAATTTATTATATCGATAGGAGTGTTAAGTCTATAAAGGCCGTATTGTACTGAATGCTCCCTAAGTCTACAAGATTTTCTTTCAAATATTTTACAACTATAATTATTAAATACATAAATTATATTAAATAGGATTTCACATTTTTTGAAACCCATGCAATGTACCAAAATTAGAGTTTGTGTAATTTAAAAAGTCAAATGCTTTCGTTTCTTTAAAATGGAAGAAGTATTTTTCCAGCAGTGGATATAGCTGCTACAGACTGAAGCAGAATAAGAAGTTAATTATTTGGGGGTGCTTATTAAACTGCTGCAAATTCAACTCATACTACTGGTACTACACTAAATTAAAGAAATCCCAACAACACCAAACATCTTATAGTTAACAAATAACCCACAGTTTAGTCAAAGTTTCAAGACGTCTGGTATATTGATTACCGATCTGCATGCCATGCATTGTCATTGATCATTTTTAATCAAGGACTGTTGTAGGTGCCTATGGACCACAGCATCCACTTATCATCAGGTGGACTGTGTTCATTTGTCACCATTACCTTAAATAAAAATCTAGGCATCGAATTAAGTTTGCTTATTAGCACTGGACAAATGTATTAAGATTTTCATTTTTTTGAGTTATTACTAGGAAGATGCTGCTGTCCATGTCCTGTTTCAGTTTCCCTCTGTTGGCTCTGACGATGTCATCGGATGTAATGGTGTAAAATATTTTAAATATTCTAATGCCACCACTACACGGCCAATTATTTATACACAGGTAAATATATTATGTACTCCTGTAGAAGCAATACTATAGCCAAATGTTATATAGTGCATTGGGGTAAGATCGGTGATGAAACAAGCAGAAAATGGTACAAGACTCCATTTTATTCTGCCCCGACCCCAAGTTTCAGCCTGTCACTCCGAAAAGTAGGGCGTGTGCTGCGCAGTATTATATAAAACACGGTAATTTTTGAATTTTTTTCGTCTGTCTGGTCTTTCCCAATCACTTTTATTTGCGATTTTTAGCGATGTCCAGTCTTCCCCTTGATGGCCAATTCTTCATCATGCATATAAAAAATTATTCCTTGTCTTCGCACACGTTTTAAGCAGAAACTTTTGAGTTTTGAAAAGTAAAAGCTTCTTATAGCTAAATTACGTGTAACCATTAACGATTCGCGCCACGTTTCAGAAATCTGACGTATATGGATGCCGAGAAAATGAAGTTTTTGCCAGACTCTTTTAACTAGTCGAAAATCCGTCCGGTATTGCCCCAACGCACCTTAATTATATGTAATATCTGTGAAAATGTAAATGTACATACCATCATCAATACCCTCCTTAGTGATATTACTAGCAACAAATGTAGCAGAAACAGCACCTGGCATTACATGTATGTTTTTTTCTTTCAATACTTTAGCTAATTTATGAATTCTTTCTTTTAACCAATTTAATGTCTTTTCTTCATTATACTTGTAAGCTTTAATATCCACTGGACCCTTGAAAAATAAATGTAATAACCAGAAATCTAAATAATTATGATATAATTATCTAATTATAACAAGCAGTTAAGAGCACCTTTAAATCTCCTATATTGTCCATATTGGCAACAAAATCAACTATTTTGTCAAATCCTTTTTCTGATAATAAATCCTCTAATGGTACAGCTCTATTGTTACACTGTTCTCTTAATCTGGGCAGTACTAAAAAAAAATAATTATAAAATTTAATGAAAGTGACTTTTGAACCATTTATCATAAGAATATCGTTTTTACACAACTCTAACATGTTCAGTTGTTATAATTAAACAATGGTAAAATTTACAAACCTAAAAATAAAGGATTTACAGGAGTTAACATAAGTATACTCCCATCGCATTTTACGTAGTCATCCATAAACCATGATCTGTATGGCTCACTAAATGTGACAACTTCATAAAGTTTGTTATGGAGGTTGTCTAAGCAATATTTTGATAAATGACCATGAGCTGGATGTGGTAGCGTGATAATACTAAAGTTGCTATTTTCGAATACAGAATCTGAAAACAAAAACATATTACCATCACGGAAACATTTCTAAGGAGGAAAAAGAGATACTTTACTTTCGGTTTTTTATTTAACCTTTAACGAGTAAAATCCAGGAGTTTTCAACTCTTTTTTGTGATACTAAGTTTACTGTATTATGTGATTTCTTTTGGGATCTAGTCATTTTTAAGCCTTTTTCAGTTTATATACAAAGTTACTCTTTGATTTTTAATTTTAATCTTTCAATCAATCAAAGTTTTGAATGTTGAAAATACAAAATAAAAATAGGCATTTTTCGTTCTACTTCCCGCCGGAATTTAAATGACAAACTGACAATGATAATCGACAATGCACGGCAGTGATACTGACACTGACAAGTCATTGTTGTTAGTGTAGCGATTCGCTAATCGAGTCAGATAAAGGTTTCTAGACCATACAGCCTAATTGATGTGTAATTTTTTTAACAGTCTTAATTTTAAAAACAGAAGTGATTTTAATATATTAAACAATAATTACCAACGTATACACTGATACATCACGTTAATAAGATTTTGTCTGTTGTTACATAGTTATTTATTTCCACTTTCGTATACTAACCTACTAACTAACGTACGTACTACTAACGTAAACTAGACTCTGGCTAAAACAACACTTATAAATACTACTAAGCTGAGGAGGTGTAATGCATTTGACACCTTAACTTGACCTATCTAG